GAACCACATCATTCTGTAGAGTAGCTAGTTCCACTAGATTGATTGCCTTCTAAGAAATTGCATTGAGAAATGCACATAGCTTCACGGTGGCTACACGTACATGTGGAGGTAGAATTCCTCTTAAAGCAACTGGAAGCAATTGCGTCATAAGCACGTGGCAGTCGTGGGACTTTAAGTTTAGGAATTTTTTATCTGGCACATTTATTATACCCTTTATATTGGAGGAGAATCCCGATGGGACCTTGATGCTGCTTAGACATTCGAACATGCTGTCCCTCTCTTCTTTGCTAAGCGTGTAGCTAGCAGGACTTAAGTAATGACGTCCATCACCTGTCTTCTCTGGATGAAGGTTGTCTCGTTCTTTCATGCACTGCAAGTCCTGGCGTGCTTCAAGTGAATCCTTTGGCTTCCCGTACACACCCATGAATCCTAACAGGTTCACACAAAGATTCTTTGTCAGGTGCATCACGTCGATTAAGCGCTATGGACCTCTAGGACTTGCCAATAGGGTAGCTCCCAAAAGATGGACTTCTTCTTCCACATGGGTGCATGTCCATTAGCATCTTTGGGAGCATGATTCACCGCCTTGTCCCTTTCCAAATACTACTTTCACATCCTTGACCATTATGAGTACATCTTCCCGGTTCGGTTATGAGGCTTCTTCCGGTGGTCCGCTTACCTTTAAAATGCTTCCTTTTTTCTTACTTGGTGATTCAAAGGAAGGAATCGACGATGGCCAAGGTACACGACCTTTCGACATCTTTTCAAATATATCTTGTCAAGGTCATCAAAACAATGTGTGCATGCATTATATCCTTTGTTTGTCGACGACTGAAAGATTACTTAAAGCAGGCCAATCATTGATGGTTACGAACAACATTGCTCGTGAGGTCAAAGTGTTCTTGTTTGTACTCATCCAGAACCACGCACACTTGTTTTGTTCCATAAAACTAGAAGTTCTTCAACTAATGGCTTCAGATATACATCAATATCGTTGCCGGGTTGCCTCGGACCTTGGATGAGGATCGGCATCATAATGAACTTCCGCTTCATGCATAACCATGGAGGAAGGTTGTAGATACATAGAGTAACCGCCAAGTGCTATGACTAGTGCTCTGCTGTCCAAAAGGATTCATACCATCTGTATTTAAGGCTTAACCTTAAGTTTCTAGCCTCATTTGCAAACTCGAAAATTCTCTGTCTATCGCTCTCCTTTGGGACCCATCATTTGGGTGTCTCAAAGATATTGTCTACCTTACGGTCTTCTTTATACCACCGCAACAACTTTGCGTGATCTTTATTTCTGAACAACGTTTTAAGCGTGGTATTATAGGAGCATACCACATAACCTTGGCAGGATTTTCTTTCTAGGACGTTGTTCACCCTCGACGTCACCGGATCATCGCGCTACCGATCTTATACCGCGATGCTTTACATACCGGGCATTCATCCAAATTCTCGTATTCATTGCCATGGTAGAGGATATGATCATTAGGACATGCATGTATCTTCCGGATTTTTAATCCCAAAAGGCGATAACCTTTTTTGCTTTCATGACGTAGTGGTGGGCAATTCATTTGGCTTCGGAAGCATCTTCTTTATAAGGTTTAATAAATTCCCAAATGCCTTATCGGATACACCATTCTTTGCCTTCCACTGTAGCAATTCCAGTGTTGTACCCAGCTTTTTTTGCCCCTCTTCGGCCGTCGGGTATAGCAACTTCCTATGATCCTCAAGCATGTGCTCCAACTTAACTTTCTCTTTTTCACTTTCCCATTCTTGTTGTGCATCACGAATGGCATTGCCAAGAGCATCACCGAGATCATCTTCTACCGCTACCTCTTCTTCATCTTCCCCTATTGTAGTATCATCAAAGGCACCATACTGAGCAATAATGTCATCAATGTCTAAATCTTCTCCTTCACCTTCTTCCATCATGACCCCGCTTTCTCCATGCTTAGTCCAACATATATAGTTTGACATGAAACCTGACTTAAGCAAATGTGAATGAAGACTCATTGAGCTTGAATATTCCTTTAAATTCTTACATAGGGCACATGGACAAAGATATGAAACCATCCCGCTTATTTGCCTCGGCCACACCTAAGAAATAGTGCAAGCCCTCTATAAAGTCTTGGGAGCGGCGATCGGCATTGTACATCCAATGGCGTGACATAATCTGTATTACACGACAAATTATGACAACCTTGAACATAATTAAGTATTTTATTACACAACATAAATGACACACACACGGTTGATTAATTAACTAAGCCTGGCTACAATGTAAGCAATCCTAACTATCACTAAACAAACTAAAACTACAATGCACTTCAGTAACATAATTATTTTGTGATAGACGCAACTAAAAACAGACAAATCATTCTTCCGTTGAATATCAATAAGCTTCTCCTCTTTGGCTCTTGCCTCATCGGCAGCACCGCCTCCTCAAGCGCACCCAAATTCTCGCACGTATGTAGCATAATCTTCCTCCCAAGTACCAACCATCGCATCCATTGCCCTCCCACTTGAAATTAAAGCCAAAAATATTTAGTCAAAGATATTCAAGAAAAGCAGGTCAATTAGCCATAATTATAAAATGCGTAAGAAACTCACATCGCGATCCGGGCACTTGTAGAAAACACGACCCTTGTTGGGTCCTGTCTCTTGACTCGGTACTCCATCACAATCTTACGCTTACACTTGCCGCAGATAATGAGAGGGAGTTCGGCCTCGATCGTTCAAGAACCGAACGAGAGGCCGAGGATCCAAAGAATGATTGTCATCTACTTTCTATACTTATTTTTGCAAACTAGTGTAAATTTCATATTTTCAAATATCCATCAAATTATAGCTCAAAAACATGTTTCAATAAATAACCATCCGTACTAGTTGACCTTGCTTACGTGATCATCTCGGCGAGCATTTCTCCACCGGACGGCACCGTACTTGGCCAAGGAAGAGCTCCGATTCTACGAGAAAGGGAACACGGTCTTCCACGACCGTTGCCGCTCTCCCTCGTAGAATCAAAGATCCTCCTTGACGTCCGTTACCGCTCGGCAGAGAACATGCTTGCCGAGCTGAACACGGTCCGCAAGTTCAACTAGTATGGATTTTCTATAATTTTCTAACAATTTTCTAAGTTTTTCATTTCATGGAAAAATTAATTCTAAGATCACGTAAGCCACCGGGGACGAGAATGGCGCGTGCTCTAGCGAGGACGAGCGAGGCGTGATTTTGATGAACTAATTTAACTTTTGTTTATCCAAACATATATGCAAATCATCATGTGATTTTGAGCTAAAAATGACATATAAAATCATAATAAAGTCCAACAAATAAAGTTACACATGCATCTACATCGCAAAATGAGATAAGCTACTTGATAAAACATAAGAGGATTAAGTTTGTTACCTCCAAAATCGAAGAGCAACACCAATGGAGGGAGAGTGCAAGAACAACAGCAAAGTGAAGAACAGAGGCGGTGAGTTTGAATAATGGAATGACTCGGGCTCGGGAGGAAGAATTGAGCAGAATTATAGGCGGGATAATTAGTCCCGGTTGGGGAGTTCAAACCGGGAATAAAGATTAATCTTTATTCCCGGGCATAACCCAAACCGGGACTAAAAGCTTTAGTCTCGGGTGAGTTACTCAACCGGGACTAAAGGTAAACATTTAGTCCCGGTTGGTAATACCAGCCGGGACTAAAGATCCCTGCCCCGCGGACGACCGTTGGGCAGGGACCTTTAGTCCCGGCAAAAAATGCCGAGGCTAATGCTAAATTGGGACATCGTTCTAAAGTCTGTTCTCTAGTAGTGAAAGTAAACCGTTGTAAATGCAAAGGTTGTCTATATCCAGGCTAGCTTTTTGAAAAATTAAAACCTATTTTTTTAAAACAAAATCTAGGAACTTGTGAATGTTTATTAGGGCACTAAATGTTCTCAACAAAATGCTTTCAACTACAAAATTTTAGTTTTTCTTTACGTCCACAATTCCATCATAAAGTCTGTCTTCATCAAATTTTATATAAATGTAAAAAAGTTTGCCATTTTCGAGAGGTGGTCGATTAATATAAGACAAATGCACGTAAACCTGGATTTATAAACATTATCACTTAAGTTGACATCTGAAAGTTACAGAGGCGGTTGTTTAAAATAATTAAATGACCATCTCTGAAAATGATTTTCTTATTTATGCTGGTCACCTTAAGGGTCCTTTTGAAAATGGGCTTCTAGAGGCGGTCACCTTACATGGTAGTCTTTGTAATTTGAAATTCATCATCATCGACGCTTAACAAGAACACCTGCAGCAAAATAACGCCATTTTCAAATAAAGAAGACAGTTTTAATATGGCCGTCTTTAAAAAGTTTACTTCTAGAGACAGTCATTGGAAGTGAGCGGGCACCCTATCATATATGGATGTTCTCCTACTGCACAACCGGTCACCCTGCTAACCGCTTGTCCAGTCCAGTCTGGAAGGGCTTCTAGTGTTTGGTTCAGCCATCACGATCAAACATTTAAATGTTTGTTTACAAAAGTTTGGTACAAAATATCTCGTACGACTTGACCAGTTGTAGCCTGTAGGTACACTGTACGTTGTTGTCCATCAGTCCATGACGTGCGACTGTATGCACACCATAGAAAGGTATCATTATATTGACTGGGCCGCTCAAGACTTTAGTCCTTTCATTTCATGGGGCCTACTGTAAGGATCGTAGATGTGCATATGTGTGACTCTGGGTGATCTTCCTCACCACCCAAAGTCCACAGCCTCATCCTCTCGTCCACCTTCTCACACCGGCCGGCTTCCATCATAGCAGGTTTATTCAGGTGGACTCCTGCTGCAGTACTCTCTTTTCTCGTCAGTTGAGGGCTTGAGGCCACGCACACTAACCAACAATCCACTTGATACCATCTATGGGCATGCCCGGCCATGCCGCGGGCTATGTGGTTGCCAGCCTGGTGATCGCCCTCACGCTGCCGCTCGCGGCGGCTATACCATGGCCAGCCTGCAACAGCAGCACCGGAACTACACGGCTAACAGCGTCTATGGTGGCAACCTCCGGCTGGTCGCTGCGGCCCTGCCCGGCAACGTCTCCTCATCGACCACTCTCTTCGCCACCGCCACAACCGGGACGGCACCGAACACGGTGTACGCCCTCGGGCAATGCGGCGGCGACCAGAGCGCCACCGCGTGCCGCGACTGCATCGCGGCCTGCTTCCAGCAGGCGCAGAAGATGTGCCCCGACAACAAGCGCGTGGCCATCTTCTACGACACGTGCCTCCTCGGCTTCTCCGACCAGGACTTCCTCGCCTCCACGACCAACTCGGACGACCAGGAGGTGTCTCTCTACAACGGCCAGAATGTCAGCTCCCACGTCGCCCAGTTCAACGCGACCGCCTACGAGCTTCTCAGCAGCATGGCCGCCTACATTGTTACCATGGATAACTCGTCCAACAAGTTCCTCACGGGATCCATTGCAGTCGACGCGCCCTACCCGTTTATCTACGGCTTGACGTCCTGCAACCCCGACCTGACGCCCGGGCAGTGCCGCGGGTGCCTTGACACGGCGATTGCTGAGATGCCACAACAGTTCATCCCCAATACCAAGGGCGCCAGGATTGCTGGGCTGCGGTGCATCGTGCGGTATGAGGTGTTCCGTTTCTTCAACGGTTCCACCATGTTTCAGCTGCCACCACCAGGAGCAGCAGCCATCCAGGATGATGGTATCTGTTTCTTGACTTCTATGCTTTTGGGCTGAGAAACTCCATTCTCTCTCTTATTAACACCCATCACTTTCTACATTATCTGCCTTTTTTAAAGAGTGTAGGGCCTGTTTGGATCCTCTCCTCTAAACTTTAGATCTCTAAAAAATTTATAGCACTTTAGCTCTATTTTGAGGTCTAATACTCTAATGTGAGGTGGGCTAAAGTTTAGAGCTAACTTTAGACCACCTGTTTGGAGCTTTAACTCTAAAGTTTATTTAGAGGTCTAAAGTTTAGAAGGGGGATTCAAACATGCCCTTAGTTTACTGTCACTACGAAGCTATTTAGAACAATATATAACTAACTTTCCGCCATCTATTTTTAATACAAATTAAAAAGTGACACATTTCTGATTATTGTGATAGTGTCCATTCGTCTCCTACCTAAGTAGGAACCCAAAGAGTGATTGTTAAAAACAAATTGCTAGCCCACATATATATAATGACACACTAGCCCATCAGCACCTATGCTCCAGCACGGCATAGAAATTTATATTACATAAGAAATAAAAATTTGTTGATAAATTCGTTAATCACAACTAGTCAAATACTATATGTTTCTTGCATTACATTCTTCTTGGGTGAAAAATCTCTCAAATCCCTTGACCTCTGTTAGTATTTAGATTAGTTTTATTTTCCCAAAGCGTGTTAGCTAATATAGCATCACTACTCCACTAATAAAATAGTCGCTTCTGAAGAATCTAGTTTTAAAATAATAAGGAATAATTAATATTGTCACTATTACGTGATTCGAAATGCATAAAGCAATTACTGAACACGAGTCACTGACCCACATATACATAGTTCACATCGCTATATCTCTCCTTTCACAGTTGGGAAAACAGACACAGTGTATATGGTATTATTCCAGTGTAGATGACAATCTTTTGATGTGACAATAAATTTTTCACATATTCCCTCTCCTCATATTTGTGTTCATTGAGAAATATGTAAGATCCACGAACAATTTTTAAGGTGTACATACTTAATGTTAAAAATAGTTGTGAATATAGAAGTTCCATTAGCTATAAAGATGTTCATTTAAATATATGTTTTTGACAACGAATTCCATAGAATTTGCAATACTGAATTAGGCTAACACTAGCAAAACAGTAATCAGTGCGGCAAATCCATGCCAGTGCGCAAGAAAAATCAGCGATTGTAAGCCATCCAATTGTTATTATCTGGTAGAACCAATGACTATCTATACGGCTGTTGTTGCCGTTCTCATTATCTATGGTGAATTGTATTGCAATATCCAAGGCCAATTTCCCACCATTGTTATTTATATATCAGTTTGTATTAAAAAATCATTACTTCTTCTAAGAGAGTCATATGGAGACAAACATTATACAAAATTTGTAGGTCCGAAGAGATCTACAACTTTGTATTTGAATATTTTTTCTTAAATTGGAAGTTATATGAAAAAAGGTTTTACATGACACACTGTCGGGTATCAATATTAGGGATACCCGGCATAAGGAGTTTAGCAGACATAAACCCTATATCGCCTGAACGGTTAAAGACAAAAGCTATAGTCTTTCCCACCCCATAGAGGGGTCTCCGTCTCGCCCAATCCCGATGGCGTAGACTCCGCCTCGCCCGACCCCGAGGGCTCCGTCTCGTCCGATCCCGAGGGCGCAGACTCCGCCTCGCCCGACCCCGAGGGCGCGGGCTCCGTCTCGCCCAGTCTAGAGGGAACGGGCTCCACCTTGCCCGACCCCAAGGGCGCGGGCTCGCCTTCGGAAGGAAGCATCAGCCCAACATGGGCACGCGCTGTCGCCAACCACTACGGATGGGAAAGGTTGAGCACGTCTCGATATGACTCATCGCCACGACAGCCACGCCGGAAGACACACGTCGCCCACGACCTCAACAGGAGAGCATTGTGCTGCCAACTCCCCGCCTGACCTCCGTCCAACGTCAGTCGTAGGCACCTGTAAGGGCTGCCAGTACTACGCTCGGCAAACTCACCTGCCGGCCCAAGCGCTCTAGACAATCCCCATCACATGGCCATTCGCGGTATAGGGGCTTGACCTGGTAGGGCCCCTTAAGAGGGTGCCCGGAGGCCATACACACTTACTTGTCGTCGTGGACAAGTTCACGAAGTGGATAGAGACACAACCGATCACCATGATCAAATCCGAGCAGGCCGTGTTGTTCTTCACGGACATCATCCACCGATTCGGGGTCCTGAACTCCATCATTACTGATAATGGCATGCAGTTCACAAGGAAGAAAATCCTCAGGTTCTGCGACGACCACCACATCCACATTGATTGGGTTGCCGTAGCGCACCCCCACACGAACGGGCAGGTCGAGCGTGCGAACGACATGGTCCTACAAGGCCTCAAGCCTAGGATCTTGAACCAACTCAACAAAGTCAGTGGACGGTGGGTCGCGGAGCTCCCCTCAGTACTCTGGAGCCTAAGGATGTCCAGCAGCCGAGCAACCGGTTACACGCCGTTCTTCATGGTCTATGGCTCCAAATCTGTCCTCCCGACCAACCTCGACTACGGAGCGCTGAGGGTCAAGGCCTACAACGAGCAGGGAAACGAAGCATTTTTGGAAGACGCCATCGACCTGCTTGATGAAGCACATGACGTCGCCCTCCTCCATTTGGCCAAATATCAACAGGCGCTACATCAGTACCATAGCCAACACATGCGGAGTCGGGCCTTCGACGTAGGCGATTTAGTCCTTCGCCGCATCTAGAGCAACAAAAATTGCCACAAGCTTTCTACGCGGCGGGAAGGACCGTACATCGTCGAGGAAGTACTCTGACCCGGCACTTACAAGCTCAAGATTGTTGACGGCAAAGCCATCGTGAACGCCTGGAACATCAAAAAGCTACGTCGCTTTTACACTTAGTCTTTCCATTCCAAAGTTGTCAATATGCTTATAAAACTAAGTAATGTTTCTGAAAAATCAAAAAATGTTACCTCGTATCGGATTCTCTTCTAATTTAATCGGTCTTCAGTAACACCCAACCCCGGCAACTACCTGGGGTCGGGTCTTACTCGGGGCTGATAGGAGTACATGTACTCAGAAACATTTTCCCATCTGACCTTTTTTTTATGACAAGATCTAGAAATAAGAGTTGCCGAAAACTAACGATGAGTAAAATAGGTCGGAATGCAAGAAGCCTACGCCCCAACGGCTACGACATCGCTTGCTCACCAGAGTGATCATTACTTAGTCGCTCGCAACTTAAATTTCTAATGCCTTAACATAAGTCAATGGTCGGATCGCAACAAACTTTTTATATATAAGAAGAAAGGCCGAACAACGTTCTTGGCCATAACAAAAGTCTTGACAAAAGACTAACGCTGGACTCAGCTATCTAACTAACCTCTCAGGGGTAGGATTTCTTCTTCGATCTTCTCTGCCTGGTCCTACGCTGGGGGAGCCACTTCCTTCTCGATCTCGTCCAGCTTGGCATCAGTGTAGCTAGACGCGAAGCCCTCACTGATCACTAGTAGGTCGATGTCGATGTAGAGGGAGCGGGTGATCGCAAATGCGCATTAGATGTCGGTGCATAGGGCCTCCCTTGCGAGCGCGCACGCTCGACCCGGGAGCTAGGTAACCTAAACGGCGAGCGAGCTCATCCCCTTAGTTGGGGCAACCCCGAGGTCATCGAAGACCAACCCAATGGCAACGCGCAAGGCATCGTGCTCGTCACTCTCCGACTGGAGTTGACCCTACACCTTGGTGAGTTGCCTCTATAGGTCCCGGGCCTTCACCGCCTCTACGGCAAGCCGCTCATCAAGGCCTGCCCAAGCCAAACATCAAAGAGCATCAGAAAACCGACTGCAAACGTCAAGCAAAAAAGTGATAGGGAAAACTAGAGCCTCACCTCTGACTTGCTCCTCGAGGGTCTTCTTCTCCCCCTGGAGCACACCAACTTCATCGGCCAAGGCAGCGGCCAGGCCCTCAGCATCCACCTTCAACTTTTGCTCATCTTCGAGCGCGCGCTGAGTGTCGGCCCTCTCTTGACTAGCAAGGTCAAGTGCCGTGCGGAGTCATTCAAGTTCCATGACATCTTCCCGCGCCCTGGCGACCATGGCCATGAGCTTCTCCTTGGCCTCATTGGCATGTTGACGGGCATCTCGTTCCCTGGTCTAGAGGCTCTCCACCTCCTCCCGCAGCCGCGGCACCTCAGCAGCAAGCCCCCAAACCTCCTTCTCGCGACGGAGGAATAGGGACTTCTCCCGGCTGCACATAATAAGGGACTATGGAAAAGAATCAGGTTAGAATTTTATAAACAGGGATCGAAAGTGGAAAACGTGGACATGACGAACCTGGCCAGCCAGGGTGACGTCATCCTTCAACACCACCAACATGTCGGTCAGGGAGCGGACTGTGGACTCAAGTCCCGAGCGCACACTCGTCTAATCCTTTAGCTCCGCTAGGTCATCAAGGGTGAAAAGCGGGGTACCTGGGTCCCGCTGGTTGGCCCAATGGAGCCAATGTCCTCCACATGCGAGTGGATCACCGCCTAGCCGGACAAGGGACTAGGATGGCCCAGCCCTAGTAGAGGGGTCGGCTGTCGCAACCGTCGGCATTGGCCCGACGAGAGCCGACAGTACCTCCTCCTTTGGCGGCACTCCCTCAGGAGTAGACCCTCCGATGGCAGAGGAGGCTGGCAGCTCGGGATCCAAAGTCCGAGCTATCGCTGCTTCTGCAGGGGATGCCTCGGTCGCGCCCCTTCCTGTTTGCCCCACCTCGAGCGCGTCGGCCGGCGCGGGCGCCGATTCCACGAGCACCTCCTCCGTCAACAAAATCATCGCCTTCGCCTCCTCTGCTTCCTTAGGCGACGCTGTGCTCGCCTTAGCGCCATCAAGGCGTGCCCCTGGCACCACGCCGGCCGGCTCCTGGGAGACTGACCAATGCGCAAGGGCCTTCTTTGGCGCCAACGTCAGGCGGCCGCCGCTCCCGACGGTCCTGCGGAAAGCACTAGCGTCACATGGTGAAATCTGAGAACATGAAAGGGCAAA